TGCGCTCGCGCCAGGGCTCGCCCCGTGCACTGACCCCAGGGTCAAGTGGGTCCAGGCCTGGGTGCAGCTGCACCCCCCCCAGGTCCCCTTGCCCCGCAGCGCTGCAGCACCGTCCGAGCTGGGCGCAGGCTAGACGGGCCCACGTGTGCCACGTGCGGTCCACCCCGGGCCCACGGCGGCAGTGCGGGCAGGCGACACGGCTCCGGGCGTAGCTTCGACACCCCCGGCTGACAGCCTGGGGGCTGGGCTGGCAATGCGGAGCCCACGCGCTCTGGCTGTGCCAGCTGGGGCTGCCAACTGTCTTGCATCGTAATGACACGAATGACTGAGCGGCCGCCCTTACAACTTGACGTCGGGAAGGCAAAGACACGTGGCTGTTGCATTTAAAAAACCCGCCCGTGTACAAATCGGGTTCGACATTTAATATTTATTTTCACGAATGCCCCCGCATTATCTCCCAGGTGCCTCTCGTGGGTCTGGAGATTTCTCTCTCGTTCCCGGGCGATGCTGCAGGGCTGGCAGCCCTGATGCCTGCTCCAGCGACCGAGCAGAGCCGAGGCCTGGGAATCCGGTTCTGGGTGACGCCTCGTAAAAGTCCTTCCCCAAATCACCCGGCGGTGGAGGGGTGGGTGCTGCCCCGAGCTGGGGCAGGGCTGCGCTGGAGCCAGGCCGCGACGCCCGGCTGCGCTGCGGGAGGGGAAGGTCCCGCCCAGGCGAAGCTGCGGCAACTCGCTCCTTCAAAGGGCAGGTCGAGGCAGGAGGGCTGGTCCCGAGTGACGGGGTCTGAGCTGAGCCCAGGGCGCAGCAGCAGGTCCCTTGAACCCGGCTGGTCTCTGTCTGGCCCCGCTCTCTTGTCCCCCCTTGTTGGCCAGCTCGCAGGAAGGTCGCGGGGCGGTGTCAGCCCTTCAAGCCGGTGATCAGGTGAGCTCTCGCTGTAAGGGGCTGTTTCCAGGCTGTCTCCCTCCCTGGCAAGACCCCTGCCCGAGACCCCTTCCCCCTGTCCTGCCCGTGTGCCCGTCCCTCAGAGGGAAGCAGGGTTCATATGTCCCAGACAGCAGAGAGGGACAGGATGGGGTGGGAGGGCTCCTGCCCGCGCACCTCTGCCAGGCTCAGATGCGAAGCAGAGGCATTGCCCGGTTCCTCTCTGGCGCAGGGCTCTGCCCGTCACTGCAGTGGCATTACGGCTGTGCAGCTCCCCTCCGCGGGACAGAAGCAGGCTCCTCACAGCCCTGACACCTCCCATTGCCCTTGCTGCCGCATGGACCTCAGAGCCTCGCTGGCCCCCGGCCATCGTGGGAGCAGCTCTGCCAAACCCCATGGGAGCGGTGCACGGACTGCGCACAAGCATGCGGCTCCTTCTGAAGTCAGGACCTTGCGGGTGCTTGCACGCCTGGTCTGTAACGCCCTGCCTGCCCCTCGCCCTGTGGTCTCTCGTCGGGCTTGGGATTCCTCTCAGCACTTTAGTTCGTCTTGCCCTGTCAGGCTCTCCGCTGACTCCTGTAGCTGTCACGAGGTGACCAGCAGGAGGCCAAAGGCTCATGCTGCACCCCGGAGAGTCCCCACAGAAACCCCGGGGAGGGCTGCTGTGCCCCTGCGCACACCCCAGCATGGGCCTGCCCTGCTGCTTGGCTTTCCTGTGAGCAGGCCAGACTGGTGGAGCCATGCAGGCCAACGCCTGCGTCTGGCACAAGGCGCTGCCAGAGGGTCCCACGAAGCCTCCATGTGCCTGCAAACCCTTTGCATCTTCCCCATCCAAACTGCATCCAGCTTAGGAGCCTGAGCACCAGCGGGCCCCAAAGCCGCGGCCACCGCAGCCTGGCCCGGACTGGTGGGCAGAAGCGGTGCCCCTCTGGCCTGGGCAGCAATGCTGTGCTGGGTGGGACCGCGGGGGACTCCAGAGCTGTCTCTCCACCACTGAGGAAACCCCGTAGCTGAGGGACAGGCCTGCTGTGCTGCTCCACACTGGGAGGAAGAGCTGCTGCTTGGCTGCGCAGGGGGGAGCAGAGCTGGCCACCCCCAGGCAGCCTGGGCTGGGGGGCACATGCAGAGCTGCACACAGCACTGCAGACTTGGCTGCGCCCAGCCACAGGAACATGGACCGCTCTGCACCCCCCCGACACGCTCCAGTGCTCAGATGTGAGCCCGCCCCTGCACTCATCCCCTGACACCGTTTTTCCACTACGTGAATGGCGGAAATGACTCACCGCTTTGTGCCACCTCCCTGCTGCTGCTCCCGGGTCTCCAGACGCACTGAGGAGGGGAAGCAGCTTTGCACAGAGCCCATGGCTCCTGTATCGGTGCCCGCCGCCATCTCCCTGGCTGCAGCCAGAGGGGCCAGCTGGCCCTTCCAGCAAGGCTATGGTCAAACATATACCTCAGCACCCCGTGGTCCCCCCGGGGAGAGGTGTGCGTGGGGAGGCCCAGCATGCTGCAAGCCCCCTGCTTCCCTGTACCCCTGTGCTGCCCAGCCGGGTCCACCCCCAGCTCATCCCCCCACTTCAGCACTGAGGCCTGGCTGGGCCTGCCTGGGGCAGGGCCCGTCTCGCTGCTGCAGCCCAGGGAGCATCTCCTCTCCCACAGTTACCCCTGCATTGCCAGTCCAGGCGTAGCACGGCTCTGCTTGTGGGGGGGCTGGGACACACGAGCTGTCCCTCATTTCTAAACCCTGTGGCTTGTGGCAGGGGTGCCCTTGGCTGGTCTCATTCATGCCCCATGGACTGGCACCTGGGGAACCCCCTTAATCTGATCTCACTGTGTCTGCACAAGGGCTGCCCACCCAGCTGCACTGGTTTCAATGTGATCTTGGCCAAGAGGCACCATCACTGCGTAGACCCATCAGGACCTGGATGCCCACCCAGCTCCCTCAGTCTGCAGCACAGGCTGCATCTAGGACAGGAGTCTGGGATCCGTGGGTCATTCAGGACTCGGGAAGTGAAAGGAAGAGAGGGACACAGCCAGGCTAGGCCCTCCCTGCCTGGGTCCTGACCCATCCTGTGCCTCCTGCTGTGGGGTGCACCTGCGCCAGGTGTGGCCAGGGCAACGGTGGGGCTGGGTGGGGGGAAGGTTGCTGTACATGTCCTTAGTGCCCGTGTGGATGGTGACTGCAGGAGCAGGGTGTGGGGGTGCAGAGGCAGCCGTGCCTGGTCCAGCGTGCTTGGCAGGGGCAGAGGGCCAAGGTGGGTTTAGCTTGGGTCACACCCCCTCTGGCCTGGTGAAGTGCTAGCTAGACAGGAGCTGGTCCAGAAGAGCTCTCCAGGGCTGAGCACTGCATCGGCGCTGTGCCCAGCCCCGGGGTGGCACTGTCCCTGCTCTCACAGCCCAGGGGGTGGGCTCTCCCCACTGGGGCTGGCCAGGGACTCCAGTGACGGGTGGCTGCAGTGAGTCTGATCAGACAGACCTGTCGTTAAGGCAACACAGTAGCTCCAGGAGCAGGTAAATATTTGCCCTAGGAGGTGGCTCTCTGCTCCAGCCAAGCCTGTATTTGCAGGGCTCCAGCCTTTGCTGTCAGCAGCGGGTCAAGGAGAGAAACTGCATTCGGGGCACTGCAGTCCCTCTCTGCCAGTGCCACTGGGCAGCACGGACCACAATTGCAAAGATACCAACACCTGGGCTCCCACTACCTGGTGTCCTACGGGACAGGCCTGAGACTCCTTTAGACAGGCCTGAGCACCCAGCGTGCCTGACGTTCGTGATCCGGAGCCGGTGGGCACCGTCCTTCAGTACAGTCATCAGCTGCCACCGTCAGATACTGGGCAGACCCTCCAAGAGGGCATAGTGCTGGGGCAGTGCAAAGGGTATCTATAAACCTGCCAGCAAACACCGAGCATGCAGCTCCATGCAACAGGGCCACGGCAGCAGCACGACACACACCCTGGGTGTCATTGCTAGGGCCTGCAGCCCCTGGGCAGCAGGTGTTTGCTCTGGGGGTGGTCCATGCCCATCTGCCCAGACCATGCTGGGCACCTGGGCCCACTGAGCTTCAAGCAGCACAGCAATGTCTGCTCCAGACCCACTGGCAGGTGCTGAGCAGAAGGGGGAGCATGCAGCACAGGCAGTGCCAGACAGGCTCCCCAGAGAAGGGCCTGCCCCATGTAGGGATCGGGGCAGCCGCTTGCCCTTGCTGTGAGGGCCTTGCCCAGGTGTGGGTGTGGTGAGGGGACTGGCATAGCTGTTTGCCTTGGGGCCATGCGCAGCCCCAACAGGAAAGCAGAGACCACACATGTGCCTGGGGGTCAGGATGTGCTTGCTGCGGCTTGGGGATACCACAGCCCATGGGACCACCCAGAGGACTACTGGCAAGTCCCTCAGGCTGGCCGGGGTCCTGTGCTCCCCCCTTCTGGGGAACAAGGCTCTGCTGGCCTGGGGGAAGATGAATCTGTGTCTGTGGGGAGGAGGGACCAGGCTGAGCCAGCCATGCCCCCCAAGCTGCCCAGGGGCTGCAGGGGTGAGCAGGGGCTGTACAGTGCTTGCAAGGAGCAGGCTGTGGTCACTGGTGCAAGGTTGGCCTCATGCCCCACTGCTGACCCCAGCCCAGATGGGAGCAGACCCCAGCCAGGGCAGGGCCCGAGCTGCAGTGATGGCCCAGCTTCCCCCTCCAGAGCAAGGGCGTGGGCTGAGGCTGCATGGATGTCCTGAACACACTGCCTCTGAACAAGGCCCTGGGCTGCCTGCTTGGCCGTGGAGCCAGGTCCTGCTGCAATCAGCTAACCCTGGCCCAGGTCCAAGCCCTGGCAACAGATTGCTTTCAGCGCGCAGGTTGCTCCAGTGCAGGGACAGTTGTGGGAGTGGGGGTGCCCCCAGCTGCAGGAACACCACTGCAGTGCCCCAGGCCCGTGGCAGGGCCTTTGCTCACATCTCCTAGAGCTGCAGAGGCAGGGCTGTCCTGGCTGCAGCAGCAGCACATTCCCATGCAGCCCGATGCCAGCGTGGCCAAGGGCAGCACCGCCTGCTGCTCCTGCTGCCCCCACCTGAGACCCATGTCTGCCTGGGTGCTGCCCGCCCCACAGGGCAAAGTGTGGAGCAGGAGCCACCTGCCCACATCAGCTCAGCCACTCGGCCCTTACAGTAACAGAGCTGGGCTCTGGCAGAAACCCCTGGAGGAGCAGACCCCTGTCCCCAGCCAGGCTCAGGGGCACTAAGTGCCTGTCTCACTGGGGACAGGTTACACCATCCCTTCCCAGTCCAGTGGTGTCAACCTGCTGGAAGAAGCAACCTTAGCACACCATGCATGGCTCCTGGCCTGATACCCAGGCAGGGGCTGTGGCTTGTAGCACCCAGACTGTGCCCCTTGGTTGTTCCTGGGCCCCCAAGCAGGCCCCGCATTCACCTGCAGCTTCTAGGGCAGTGTCCTCTACTAGTACCAGCAGAACTGCCCTCCCACCCCATCCCCGAGGGTCCTGCCCACACCTTCCTCCTCCCCACAGGTACTGCTGCCATGGGCCTGGCACACATCTGCAGGGCAGCGCTCCATCCTGGAGCTGTCCCTGGCAGTGCCGGGGGTTCTTGCAGACCCCTCAGCAGAGGCCTGGCTGATGGGGCATAAGGGCCGGTGCAGCAGCCAGCTGGTCTCTGCCACTGTCTCTGGTTCACCCAGCCCATGGGGCAGTGCCAGGCCTTGGGAAGGGCAGCCCCCAGCTCTCACTGTCAGGACCTGTGCAAGCTGCTCAAGTGTCCCCATCCCTTCCCACACCACACTAGATACAGGGGTATAAACAAGGCTTGGGCGATCTTTATTCTTGTTGGGGACCTGGGAACACATCCCACAGCAGAACACCACAGGTACAGCAATCAGCAGAGGTGATGGCTCCGGGCTGGGGCAACCCCATAGAGCAAGCCCAGCCCCTGGGCATGGCTGCTAGCTGGGAGGTGACAGCTCCCCGGGGGAACTGCTAAGGCACCAGGGTTGAGGCTGAATAATAAGGCACCCAGGAAGCTGTAGTGGGGGGCTGGGGAGGCAGCCCTGCTACAGCACCAGACTACCCAGCCATGCACGGAGAATACATGGCTTTGCCCGCAAGCAGCCCACAGCTGCTCTGACCCCGTGGGGTTGGAAGGAACCAGGAGACATCAGTGTGACTCTTCCAAGCCCTTAAGGCTACATCCTTTGGAGAAGAGCAGATGTCACCCCCAGCACCTGGCTGGCAGGACTGCGCCAACACCCAAAGCAGAAGGCACCATTGTAGTTGCCTAGTACAGGAAAAGCAGGGAGCACCTGGCCAGATAGTCACTGGCTGCCCCAGTATGAGAACAACTGGGAAGAGCCCACAAGAGGTTTGGTCCTAGGGTCGGGACATCCCGGCAGTGCGGCTGCCCTGTGCCTGGAATGGGAGAGAGTGGTGGCTTTGGTGCTTCAGCAAACAAGTAGAGCCCCAAGCCAGGGCAAGGAGAAGCTGCCTAGCAGAGATGGCTTTGGCACGTAGCTTCGAAGACCGGGATCAGGGTGGGGCAGCCTCAGTTGGTCCCAGTATCAGTCTAGAGGGTTTGGTCCATGTGGAAGCTCAGGTCTTTGCAGGCCAAGGACAATTTGGGAGGGTGTCTGGATCCTGTCTCCAGCAGCATGTGCTGCCTGTGACCCCCCTGGGTGGAGGAGACAGGCTCCAGGCTGCACAGAGGGGCAGGGGAACTCAGGGCAGAGGCCCTTCCTTCCCCTCTAGATGGAGGGGGAGGTATCGTCTCACAGGGGAACGGTCAGGAAAGTCACTGGGTTGTTCTAGACTGCAGACAGAGGTAAAGCCCTGGGCAGGGGGAGGAGGAGGAGGAGAGGGTGGTGGGGAAAGAGGAGGAGGAGGAAGATGATAATGATGCTGAAGATGGAGGCAGCAAAGCAGCATGGGCTGATCAGAGGATCTGGCGTGGCATCCCATAGCCCGTCATGCCTGCCTGCGAGGCACCCCGGTTGGTGCCCATCTGCAGCCCGATCACATTCTGGCCCTCCTTCATTTTGTGATCCGAGAAGGCGCGGCGGTTCTCCTGGGATTTCCTGGGTGAGCAAAGCACGGTCAGAGCAGGGGGCAGAGCACAGCAGGGCCCAGGGCTGTCCCCACCTTTGTCACAGCATCCGCAGGGCTTAGGCAGGACATGCCAATGCCCCTTCAGGCCACAAAGGGCTGGCACATATCACCAGGCCCTCAAGCCAGCCCGGGCCAGACCCAGGACTGGCCCTGGGTCCTGCCCATTAGCACAGGGTTGGAGGGCACTCATTACTACCCCTTGCTCTGGGTCCCTTCCCCCTCCTCTGCTGGGAGCAACAGTGCCAGCTCCAGTGCTTGCATGCAAAGCCAACCTTAGGGAAAATGGCACCCTGGACAAACTTGTAATTTGTCCCCCCACACTCCAGAAGTCAGCGGTGCAGCTGCAGGCAGAGGCAAGCAGGGAGGCAGATCGGGGGAAGGGATGGAGAGAGCAGGGCTGCCCAGGCAGGTCCCAGCCCAGGTTTATCTCATCCCTGGGCACCACACTGCAGCCACCTGGAAACTATCATCCCAGCTTGCTGCTGTCTGAGCACCCGGGGGAGGTGTGGCTGAGGCCGGAAGCAATTTCAGCATTCCTGGTGCAGCAGCCAGCCTGGCCAGGCAAGGTTGTGGGGGTGGGATGGAAGGGGCAGGGAGCGCAGCTGTCCAGGCACATGGCCCAGTCCCCAGCACTATGGGCATCTCCCAGGCCCCATCATGGCGGATGGGGAAACGTGCTCCCACAGCCACCTGCACTGCCCTGCCCACCTCCTCCTGAGCAGTGGCTGGAGGGCCGGGGAGATATCCACAGTGCATCTCCCCAGGATGGGGTGGGGTGCAGGGATCTGTTGGGACAGGGATAGAGTGGTGCTGTGTGTGCCCCCGATACCCCCGACCATAACGCCCTGGGCGGTCACCCACGTCATCCACCCTTAAGGCCAGCTCTGCCTGCATATCTCCTCTGGGCCAGAGAACGTGACTGTAGTTAGGTCACTTAGGGCTCCAGGGAGACCCTGCCCTGCTCCTTCCAGCCCAAGCTGGCCCTTGCCCATTTAACTGTGTCCCTGGGGCAGCACCGGTCACTTACTTGGGGAACCAGTTGGGGTCTCCAAGGAAGAGCCCGTCCTCCTTGGTGACAGCCAGGCTGCCTAGGTTCATCAGGGTCCTCTGCACGCAGGCCATGTTCTTCCCTGGGGGCAGGAGGCAGTGAGCATGGCCCAGCAGACTGACGCAGGTACAGCACCCAGGGTCCCTTGGGGGCTGAACTCCCCCCGGGCCCACAGTGTGCAGGGCCCCCCACCAGTCACAGGCTCTCTCACCCCAAGGTCTGGGCAGAAGCAGGGGTGTTTTTGGATGGGCAGCCCCCTCGCCCGCTCCTGGCTGGCCATACCTCCCCTGAACCCCTCCCCAGAGGCTGCACATGTGCTAGTAGGGCCAAGGGGGCTGTGCTGGCCCCCAAGGGGCAGCCCTGAGACAGAAGGGAGCAGGTATGGGCTGGCTAGGGAGGGGGGGTAAGTGTTTGGGTTGAGTCCCACTGATGCAGGAGCCTCAGGAGGCAGTCATAGGGTCTGGTGGGCAAAGAGACCACAAGAAGAGAAGTGAGTCTGGAGCTTTGCCTGGGCTTGGGACAAGTGGAAAGCCTCCCAGCTGCAGCTTCAGGACTCCCTGGCCCTCTCCATGCTGGGATACAGGGCTTGTGGCTGGAAGCAGCTGATCCCCCTGCCACTGCTCACCTTCCCAGAGGTCCACAGTCTGGAAGATGTCAGTAGCAGCTATGCCATAGTGCTCCGCTGCCTGCAGGAACTGGGAGATCTGCTCCATCTGCTTGAAGGCCATGGTTGAAGGCTGGATCTTGGCTACTGGCGCCTGGCCCCTGGGGTAGAGGCTGTTGATGAGCTTGCACAGCACCTGGGTGGGAGGGAGGACCTGTGACTCTGGATACAGGCTGCCAGGCCGCTGCACATCACAGCCCCACCAGAAGAGAGCAGCGGGTGTTCCTGGTCCAGCACCACTTACCTGGTTGCCCCACTCCCTCACTTGCTGCTGCGTGGCAGGATGTTTTTACCCCTTCCTTAAAGGCACTGGGTGCTGGATGCAGCCAAGGCTGGGGATTGTGACTGGACTGTGCCAATGCTCCTGCTGGGAGCAGAGCAGACCCCGGCTGTAGGGTCTTGCCCCTCTGCTCAGGCTCAGACCGATGCTGCACTGGGGTCAGGGAGGAATTTTAACCCATGGTCAGATCAGTACAGACTGGGGGGTTTTGCCTTTCTCTGTAGCAGGGGCACAGGCTCTACCTGGGATCACTTGAGTGTATGTTGACAACCTTTTACAACAGCAGGACGCTGGCTGCTGTGGTCCCCCTGCTTTCCCTGCGGTAGGTTCGGTCTGTACAGTGATGTCTGTATTGCGTCCAAGTCAACAGTAGTTATGCAAAGAGTTTAGATGATGGGTTGTCTGAGGTAGTTTGGATAGGACTGATCCTGCCTCAGGCAGGGGGTTAGACTGGATGACCCCAGGAGGTCCCCTCCAGCCCCACTGCTCTGGGTTTCTGCTACTTACAGTGCCGTCCTTTAGCCACTGCTGGAAGTTATCCTTGCCCAGCCCGGGCTGCTGCACGCCTGCCCCCTCGCACTGCGTCACAATCCACTGGGTGAGGATCTGCTCCAGCTCGGGGTCGTACTGCCGGTCGATCTTCTGCTGCACCTCCCTGCTGAGCCCGTAGGCTGGTCCCCGGTTGGCCATGGTGACAGTAGGGTGTCTGCAGGGCACAGGGGCAGTGGGTAAGTGTGGGTGCTCTGTTGAGACCTGCATCTAGCCAGCAGCATGGGACAGAGGTACAGGACCCCTCCCCAGTGCCACAAGTGCCCGCACCCTCTGGAGCTGTGCAGGAGCTAGTGCAGGGGCTGGTTTCGGGGCTGCCCAGCAGGGGATCTCTGGCTTTGTTTGGGAGGTTGCCCTGGGAGAGCCTGGCAGGCCAGACCAGGGACCCAGAGCCCCTACCCACTGAGGAAAGGGCTGCTCAGAAGACCTCAGTGCAGCTAGGGCTGGGGTCTCCTCCCTGGCCAGCTGCCCCAGGAGCCTGGGGAGCTGCCCATGCCCTTCTGTCTCCGTCCTGACCAGGGACAGCTCTGTGGCCCATGCCCCCACCTACTAGGGCAGGACCATGGCTCTGCAGGGGTCTCACCAAGCCAGGAGGGGCCCTGGGGCTCCAGCAGCTGAGCCCAGGACTAATTAATAGATTCACAGAAATTAGGGGCCGGAAGGGACCTCAGAGATCATCAGGTCCAGCCCCCCTGCTCAAGGCAGGAAAGACTCCTGGAGTCAGATGACCCCAGCAAGGCGTGCGTCCAGATGTCTTTTGAAGATCCCCAGGAAAAGTGACTGTGCCACCTCTGGGGGGAGTCTGTTCCAGACTCTGGACACACAAAAAGGAAATAAGTTTTTCCTAATGTCTAATCTGAAGCGATCCTCTATCGGTTTATGATCATTATTCCTAGTCTTCCCCCTGGGGTGCCTTGGTGTTCTCCAACCAGGATGGCCTTAGACTGATGGCTAAGGCCATCCTGCTCCTCTGCTCATGCCAGGCTGCCCTGCCCTGCCCTGCCCTCCCCATGGCTTAGACAGGGACTGGCTGGGAACATACAGCAGGGGTGGGACCTGGCCCTTACTCTCCTGTGGGGTTGCTGCAGCCACAGCAGCACAGAGTCACTGAGGTCTGGGTAGAGCCAAGGGCAGGGTTGCTCAGGACCACCTTCCCCCCCCCCCCCCCCCCCCCCCAATCTCTTCCTGGAAGATGCCAGCAGGAGTTCTGTCCAGCCAGCACTACCCATGCACCCCTCCACCCACTCCCAGCAGCCCCCAATGCATCCTCAGGCAAATCTGCCACAGCCCTGAGAGCAAGCACCTCTCATCCAGGACCTGCCCCATGCGAAACCCCGACCCAACTGGGTTCTGCTCATGCACATGCTCGGCAGCACCCCTGGACCCGTCTGCCCTGCAGGGACTCGGGTGCCACAACTGACCCCGAGGGTGCATGAGCCTGAAGGAGCCACAGGCCTAGACTTTATGCTGCATGCAGGGTGCAAGCTGGGCCTGCCTGGGGAGGGGTGGACTTCAGCAAGCAACTGCCCTCCCCCACCCTCCCTTGCCCCAGGGTAGGAGCTCCCTCTCTGAGCAGCCTCTCAAGGGCACGCACCTGCCCAGCTCTTGCTCAGGGGCAGAAATTTTGGCTGGCCTCCTCCCTGCAGGCTCCAGCAAGCCCTGCCCCAGCACCTTCCCCAGAAACAGAAAGGAGATCTTCCAGCCCCACCTATTTCCTACCCCACAGCCCCCTCAGCGCTGCCCAGGTCTGGGGCTCTATCTAGTCCCAGCAGCACCCAGCTCAGACACGCACCGGCACCCCTTGCAGCCTCCTGAAGATGTGATCATGGGGCACATTCATGCTGTAACGGAGGTGGTCAGCCCCGCCCCCCCAGGGACAGTTCCCACCAGTGGGAAAGCACCTGCCCCGGCTCCCCTCCCTGGCCGACGGTACCAGGTGCCCGCACCAGATGCACGATGCCCTGCCTTCCCCATAGCACATTCCAGCCCTAATCTCTGGAATGCAGCCGGGTGCCGGGGCCAGGCCGGAGCTGCCAGCATCCACTCGCTGCAGCCTGGGATGGCGGGGGGGCAGGCAGTGGCCGAGTCCTGTTCTGCACGGCTGCCTGCTCCCAGTGCCCACACTGCCAACAGTCGAGCTGCAACTCCGGCGGCAGCTGTCCTGGTACCACAGTCGGATCCCTGATCCCTGCCAAGCTACCCAGGAAAGGACACCTCTTCCCCTGCACTGGACGCCCCACAGCAAGGGTGCATCTGGCCAAGCCCCTTTGCTGCATGAGACTCTCAGTCTCTGCCTCACACCCAGGACCAGAGGAGCAGCCAGATTCCTGCCAGCCTCAGCCTGCAGCACAGCTACCCAACATCAGCCCCGGCTGTTCCAGCCACTCCAGCACGTAGGCACAGCAAGGCAGCAGGATTGACCCTGCTGCCCGCCTGAGAGGGCAGCGGGTGCCATACGGCCCTGTGCACAAGGGCAGTGCTGCTCTGGGATCTGGTGATCTGCTCCCTCCGCAGCTGCTCTCCTCTGCTGCGGCTGCTGTCTGTTCCCAGGCCCTGGGAGGCCCCAGGGAAGGGCAGTACTGGCTGGGGAAGGAGGGAAGTCAGGCAGCAGATGGACTCACCCTGATAGGGGGTCATACATCCTGCATGGGGCAAGGCATGCGCAGCCACCACCCTCTGGATTAGATACTGACCACAGGCAGGTCCCAGTTCAAACACACCAGCCCCGATAAGGACCCGATCCTGCCGCAGTACAGCGCCCAGCATTTCCATGTGACAGCAATCACCTCCTGGGGCACTTCCGCCAGAGCAGGCCCTGCCCAGCACCCACCCTGCCATGGGAAGGAGCCCGGGGAGTTCCCCCTCTCCACAGACACAGAGAGTCCAGGGCCCTCCGCTCTTGCGAAGTGATCAGCAGTCACCACTTCCTGCCCTCCAGCCCATGAGAGTAAGCATGCAGCCTTGCCAGGGATCCCAGTTATTAATAGCACGAGAGCCTCCCCCAGTGCCCACTTGCACCGCCACCTTGGGGAGGAGCTGGAGCGGGCTTGGGGACCCATGTCCTATAAGGCCTGGCTGTGGAGGGGGAAGCAGTGGGCCGAGACCCCTGGCCTTGGTGCCCACCCCCAAAGCTGCCCGAAATGCTCCTCCCAGGGTTTTTAGCCTGCAAGAGCTAGGGAGGAGAGGAAGGCAGTCTGCTGTGGCCCAAAGTACCTACTCCAGAGACCCACCAGCCCGGCAGCAGCAGGTCTCACTACCTCCCACCCCTGCCCCCAAATACCCACCTATCTGCAAGCCTTTGGGGCAGGGAGCGAGCCCCTAGCTGGCCCCCGCCTGCCAGGGAGGGCAGCTGCCACACAGACCTCCCTCCAGCTGGCTGCTCCCCTGGGGTTCAGGCAGCACCATGCAGGACCCTTGCTTAGCTCCCTCTCCAGGACCTTGAGCGCAGCAGGCACCTGCCTGAGCCAGGAGGGGCTCACAGTGCCCCAGCTACCCAGTGTGCGTGCCCAGCCCTGCCCAGGGGCAGGTAACTACTGGCCCAGTCTTGGTTGCCCTTCCTGCAGCTTCCTACCAATGGGGCAGTGCGAAGGTGCAGAGATGCTGATGACCCTGCACTGGGCACAGGCCCAACCAAGCTTCCCTTCACCAGGGCAGGGCAAGGCAGGCCCTCCAAGGAGGCTGAGACACGCTGCCTCTCAGGGTGTGTGCACAGACCATGACCCTGTGTCCTTCTGGGTGTGTGGGAAGTGTCAGCAGCGCACAGTGTGGGGCCTTTGGTTAACCCCAAGGGCTGACCGCAGCCACCCGGCTACCGCAGCACAGACCCCACAGTGGAACTGGGCCAAGGGCAGGCGAAGCCCTCGGTGAACCCCACGAGCCAGGGCAGGGGCTGGTGCTGCCAGGAGGCTGGCCCCAACTCCCTTGCCTGCCAGCTCCTCGCCCTGCACAGCTGCTGCCGGCTCAGCACAGCTGCCCAGAACCGCCCACACCACAGGGGAAACGCAGGCAGCTGCCAGTCTGGGAGAAGCCCACACCAGAAGCTGCCATGGGCCAGAGCTAACTGGGCAGAGAACAGGCCCTCCCACTCCCCAGCTCCACTGGGCAAGAGACAGGCACCATCACAGTGGTCCTGGGCCTGCCCATGAGACAGCTTCTGCTGCCCTCACCCACTGCAGCATCCCCAGCCAGGTCCAAGGCAGTCCCCACCACCCCGCACGCTCTAGTGCAGCTCCCAAAGCAGAGCACGGCTCCTGGATGCCTCCCTGCAGAAGACAGGACTGAGAAGGGCTGAGGCAAGGCAGCAGCATGGCTACTACTCAAGCTGGAGCTCCCTCCTGAGGCCCAGACTGGTAGCAAGCACCTACCCTGTGGGGTGAGCTTGGCACTGTGAAACTACTGCTTGCACCAGGCATGCCCCAGGATGGCATATGAACTGGCTTGCCTTGGTCTGCTCTCTCGGCCACTCAGCTTCTCCCTCCACAAAAGCCAGCACTCGCTTGTGAGCCCAGCCCCTCCCTGGGGGCACATGGGGTCCAGCTGCCTCAACCACACGGGTGTGATCCACCCAGGTGCCAGGCAGGCCCTGCTCGTCCTCGGAAGAATTTGGCTCAAGCCCTACATCCCTGGGCTTCATGCTCTCACTGCCAGCAGCTGGGAGCTCTAGCCTGTCCTGACTGCAGTGGTCAGGGATGACTGGAAGCAGGCTGCAGCTTGGCGGCTGAGCCTGTCTGCAGCACAGGGCCAGCACCCACCTGGGGAACTGGCTTGGCATCAGGACAGACGCAGGGGCAGAGCAGGGCCATTTCAGCCAAGTACCATGCGATCAGCTCCCACCCCTGCCAGCCCCCTCCTTGTCCCAATGACCCCCACATCCGCACTGCAGGGAGCTGCCCCCTTCCCGGACATGTCCCATGCTATAGGCCTGAAGCAGGGCTGCCTTGGTCACAGGATGGTGGAGTCTGGCTCTGCTCTACAAGCCCATGGCTTTGGCAAGAAAGGCTCAGGGGGCAGGGGAGGGTCCAGAAGGCAGCCCTTGTACAATGCCCCACTGAACACCTGCCAGGACAGTGTGTGGCATTGGGAGCTTCCCCCCTCCCCCAGGCCAGCGTGCTATCAGGGGGTCCCCTCAGTGCAGAGCGTCGGTGGGAAAGGTGCCTC